TTTTTTTGTGTTTGCTGAATAAAAAAAAAAGAGTGACCAAGATAACCGGTTAATGCTATTAAAAGCTCGCAGGTAGAATCATATTTTATTAAAAGGCCATCATTAGTAAATCTCTATTCAATCGTTTATATCTAATAGCAAAAAGAATTATAAAAATAGATAATGATGCATTGGGCTGATAGTCAGAATGATTGGAATGGAATTCCACATGTTTTGAACAGACGGAATTCTCTTTGCGTACTGAGATCTTTATCAACCGAGCGAGATGTTGACCTTGCGGATTGGTAAGAAAGTAATGACGACACGACATGTATTACGCGTTTAGAATTCACGTGCGGTGAACGCGTTAAGATTGACAGTCAAGGACTTAAAAGAAGCGATCCGTGCTGTGTGTACGGAACAATGTTAGTTATTTGCGTGACTGACTTCTTTCTAAAGTGAATGACCGACGCAAGACGAATCCTCTTTATATAGTATTTTACAGGAAAAAATTTCTTGCATTGCATATAAACACCCCTAATCTTTGCGAGGAAAGATTTCTAAAAATAAAGGAAAATGCATCGAACAAATAAGAGTAATATTTGGAGTGTAAATTAATTATTTAATATAGTCTTCTTAATCTATGAGTCTATGAGTCAAACGTTTCGGCTTCATTTCGGAGCTATATTTTTAATATGGAGAGAATTTTTTTTTATAGTTTACTCTGAAAATGTGATAGTCCTGGGACAACATTGTATTTCGAAGAATTTTGTATAAATTTGTCTTGGTCATTAATAAAATTACAATAAAATATAAAATAATTTTGATCAATTTTACTGAAGTGTATGATAAAAATTTTTTAAATATTGTATTGTACCACAATTACCTTATTTTCAGGGTAAATTTTAAGAAAAAATTCTTTTCACACAGAAAAAAATGTTTTGTTGAATTAATGAGAATTCTAGTGAAAAATGAACGATCAGAATTCTAATTATAAATCTACAAGATTTCTTAAATCTATTAAAATTCTAATTGAAATAATCAACATTTAATAGATTTAATCAAAAATCTAGTAAACTTAACAAAAATTCTGAATCGTTCATTTTCCACCAGAATTCCAATTAATTCAACCAAACATTTTTTTCCAGGCATGAATAAAAATATAACTGTAAGGCCCAATTTCACAACTCACGATTAACTCTTAAAGGTTTAACTTATTCATTATTTCTTTTCAATTCTAGAATTGGAAAGAGATAAGAAACAAGTTAAATTTCAGTTAAGAGTTAACAGTGGTTGTGAAACTGGACCTAAGTGTTATTTCTCAAGTTCCAAATGAAGATAATGTATCATTCACATTAAGTGCAAGACCAAGTGGCTTAATTGCATTCAGCAGAAATGTTTATTTTGCAACTGTTGAAACTTTTCTCCATCTTGAATGAATTACATTTTCAGATCTGAACATATAATCCAATCAGCGCGAAAAAAACTTCAAACAGTTGCAATAAACATTCTGCTAAACGCAACCATTGCAATCAATGAAAAATTTAAATAATTTAAATAATTCCAGAAAATAAATTTAAAAATTCCTTGACTTTTCCAGATTTTCTAGATGAGAATGGAAAACTTTCCAATATAAGATATGTAAATTTTAACACATTTAAAGAATTGTAGGAAATCTAGCCTATATTATTAAAAACAACACAAAAAAGTGACATAAAATTTTGAGTGCAAATTCGAACGAATAAAAAATAAATTAGTATTGGAAATAAGAATGCAGTTACGAAAAAGGGTAATCAAATAAAAACACCGAATAAAATATAAATTTTAATTATTTTATTAAAATCGTTTAAAGTGTGCAGTTTTTAACATATTTTACTATAAACATCAGATATATTAAAAAATTATAATAATTATCTGGAATAGGAGCAGTTTAAGGAAATTGTGAACAAATTTCAAAATTCCAGACTTTTACATTTTCCCCTGACTTTTCCCGGTTTTCCAGATCTGTGGCAACCCTGACAATCCTTATAAAATAAAAGAAGAACTAATGTAAAGTTGACTATACAATAGTGTTTGAGTCAGAAAGATTTGTAATTATCAAGATCAAGAACACGCGGATGAATGTAGAATTTTGATGAATTGCGAATTGTATGTAAATATGTGAAAGTTCTTCGCCTCAAGGCGTTTTCCTGTATAGATATAACTCTTTTTATTATACGCATAATTTTAACTTTATGAACACTCGACTCTACAACTCCTACGCGTTTCATCCCTTCTTATCTCGCATTTAAAATGTCCACATCTTGCATCTGTGGACCAAGCGTTAATCGCGCCATGGACGTGGTGCGTCCTTCGTAAGTCCGCACGTGCCGTTTCTGGCGGCTTCAAGGTCGCGATAATTCGCAAGGGGGAACGCAGAAACACAGGATCCTCTTGTGCACGAGCGACAGCTGGGAAGCAGGCAGTCAGGCATGCGGGGCCCCAAGGTCTCTCTTCCTCAGGGCCCCTATTACGCTCCGACACGCATACTCACATACGCACGCACACGGTCATTTACATGACGATCCTGTTGCTGGACAAAGAACGAGATGGTACCCCGTTCAACCTTCCGGCAAATTCGCACACGTGCACGTATATAGGTCAAACTACGCAGCGGAACTAGCTCCACTTCCCCGTTCCCGGGTTTAAATAAAAGCCCGCCGCTGCGACTGGATCATTATAGCATCTATTTTGTTTTTTTATATTGGAACACGTTGAAAGGAACTTAGCGGTGGCGAGGACTGATTCCACTAGTGGCACCAAGTTGTAATACGAACCATCACGTGTTTGACTACTTGTGTTTTTGCTACCAAGTAGAGCGATAGTACTTAATAGGAGTTTAATAGGAGGTTTTATTGGTCAAAACTATTTATCGAGTACCATCTTCGTTTATTAACTCGCACACATTAATTATAGTAACTATTTATTTAACATTTTCGATGGTTCTTTATGTCGTTTAGTTTCTCGACTGTTTTTGAGGCCTCAGCGTACAGCTTTAACAAGTCCGTATCGTAAGAGCGATACCACCAGCTCTTTCTATTCCTCTTGACAAATGCGAGGATACGCCTACGTATACGGGGCGGACGCCTAATTTACCATCCGTGATTTTTGCTCGCGCCCCCACGAGAAATGTTCCATCGAAGGGTGAAGCGGAATACAGAAAGAGACTCGTCGATGAATCTATATACACGCGTATATAAGCTCTTTCCGTATGACGTATAGCCGTGATTACCCTGATGTAGATCCGTCCGTCCATTCTGGCCCCGATAACGCATCGGGAATGTACAGGCCCTTTTCTTCTCTCTCCTCTCTTTCTCTTTCTTTTTCCATCGGTGAACGCATCGATCATCGTTGCGCCCACGATTTTTCATTCGGAGTTCCTTTACCAGAAAAAAGCCCATCGAGATTGAAAAGCCATTCCGCCGTCTGGGAATGCAAAACGAGGCTTTTTGTCGGGTGCAGCAATGGCCGTTGTTATGGACGGGATTCTTTTCGACGTAAACAATCTGAACAATTAATCTGACACGAAAAAGAAAAACATTTATATCAATAGAGTTCCAATCGTAACGTGACTTGCGTGAAACGAACGAATTATGCTTGTAACAAGTCTAAAAATATATACTTTTATAGCTTCGTGAAAGTAAAAGTTATTTAATGCTCGTGTAAGTAAAAGTAACTTTTAACGGATGCTTTTGTAATTTTCCAGCAGTTAAGAATATTAAAACTGTGTAACGAACACTTAGCTTAACGACGGTTATTAAAAAGATTTACAAGGAATCTCGAGATTCTATATTAGTTTACTTTCTGTCCTCTCGAGTTCCATTATCACTTTATTATATTGCTTTATTATTATGCGTGAGAAAATCATTTCACCAAAGCACGCAGATGTTCCTTATATTTTCGTACAATGTACGATGAAATAAAGTCAGAAAGCAGCATCAATCTCCCTCGTAATAAAATAATATACCTACTTGAAGCACGAAATTCACGGATTATGGCAGACGTCCTTTATCGGTTTCACAGAAAAAAATGAATTCCTGATTCACGTATATTTTTATTCTTGCATGCTATTTACTTTCATTTAAGTATAAAATGTTCTCTTCAATTATAAATATTCACTGGCATCAATAATAAATAGATTTATGCAAAGTATATTTTATTCTTAAAATTGTATTCTTCTTTCTAAAATTATTATACGATTCTAACAAACTCAATCGCATTATTTACAAACTATTTATTCTTGGATTAAGAATTCCAAATTTGAAAATTCACCGACAAGCGGCAACAGTATGTATATATAAGGGTCCCTCAGTAATATCAAGATGTCGGAAGTGCATGGGTGTAGCGAATGACGATTGATGGTGGTTTTATGAGTGAACTGTTGCATTCGTGGAACATACTTCTAAATGTGATTCAATCTTTAAGAGTGGATGAAATATTCAGCTCGTCCCGTTTGCATCCTTATTTGCAATACGGCTAACGGAGGTTGATAGAACAGTCTCAGCATTTCACTTGCCTTTGAGCTACATTAATAGAGGATATAATCCAAGTTTGATTCAGTTTTTCCTTGGGAACTTGTATCCCGTGCATGCTCTATAAACGTGACACTTCACTTACAAAGCTATACTGCAGTATTGGTTTCTGTCATCTTGATGTTAGTAAAAAACATTCTGAGAGTTTGAAATAAGTTTACAAAAGGTATCATTGAAGAAAAAAATAATGCTAATGTGATTCAATATTTAGTATTGAACGAGTGCAACTTTATTCTTTTATTGAATAAAATTTGTTTTGAATAAGAATAAAATTTATTTTGTTTTACGATAATAATTTATTGTTAATCGGAAATTGTTTATTCTTGGCGCTATTCTAAGCATAAAATATTCCTGGGTTAAAGCGTTTATGCATTTTTTAAATTCATTTTTTTGTGTGGTATCGCGGTCGATTTCTCGGCGATAATTTAGCCGATCGATTGAATTTTATAGGTGGTTCCTTTTTCTCGTGATGTCCCCGCTCGCTGCGGAGTCGATCATGATGATACTCGGTGTTGGTACACCGGTGAATTGAGGAAGATTCGACCATCCGGAAGCACGCGCCGATTCGCCTCAAATCGTCCGTGGCCAGAAATTATTGCCCGAAATTATACGTTTCGCGTGCTGGCTACATCAATTCCAACGTGCTGTTTTATGGTTCCACGAGGGTTCTGCATCACCCCCCGCAATCTCAATCACAACGCTGGGCCGCTCCTATGTGACGGCTCTTTCGTTCGAACGAATCCTCCAATCTAACACAATCGGGCACGTGACTCGATACGGACCTCATGAAAAATGTCTCGTAGAAAATTGAAGCGTCCTTCTTCTCCCTTGTGGTGCGCAGTTTGTAGGAAGCTCTTGTCGAGACCACCAAGCATCTGCCTTTGCCGTTTGGAGAACGCGCATGATTTTCTTCCAGCATTCGTTACCTGTTTTTGAATGAAATATAAATTTTGGCAGGCGTCTATTATTATCGTTTATCCTAATGTAAGTATATATATTTAAAAATTCACGACTTGATCACCTTAATGTCATTGTGCTATTCTTAGGGGCTATCTCGGCATTATATACATAAAAAAGGAAGGAAGAAAAGGCAATACAGCACGAGCGCGATAGCAGATATGAAAGAGCATGACTTACAGGACGTCTCCTAGTTCCAAGATGAAGAGCCATAAGCCGCTCGTTTCCTTGCGAGAAAGATTCGAGGTGGAATCACCGTCAAAGGCGATGCCGCGGAAGCCGTCGACGTCCCCCCGAGATTGATGCCCGTAGGCGAATTTAAAAGTGACAGGGTGAAGAATCGAGGATACTTTCGAAACATCGAGGTAACATATTATATATAGGGTGATCCGCATTACGATGAGAGCCTCAGAATATCAGAAGGTAGATAAATGTAGGACGGTGTTTAAAATTGAAAATGATTAGAAGAGAAATTTTTCTCCCCCGCGAATAAAAAAAGCAAATCTGTTATTCGTATTTTTTTTAAATAATATAAAATAGTCAAGGACTCTTACAAATTCAATAACAATATAACGATAAACGGGCAAATAAGAGTCGATTTTTTTAAAAATGTGAACGTATAAACATTATTAATAAGAGTTAAATACATACATAATAGAATCTAGAAATATTATTACATGTTTCAGCTCTTATATTGAGCCATCTTCAGATATTATCCTCCTTTCGCTTTACATTAGATACTATCTTCTTAGATACTATCTTCTAAGAGATAAAAAACATGATGTAATGTGTTCCACTTTATGTAGTGATCTTGACTGTTACATGGCAGATGTCTGATACAAACACGAACTATTAGATGGTCGATTGTTACGGAATTTCATGATGTTGTGATCAGAAAGACAAAATTCACTCGCCAATAAATAGATAAATAATTTGATAATTCTTTAGAAAAATTGTCTTTTTTATATTCAGTAAAAAGTAAGTAAACAACATCATCTCGATGAAACATTCATGATCGCAGTTATTGTTTCGTGGGATGAACACTTTGTCAAAATCATTATTTAAAAATGTATAAAATATAATGACAAAACGTCAGCCAGATAGTGACGATAAATATACTCCACAGTTCGTATGAGAAACAAATTAATTTTATGCAAAGAATGAATCCTCCAGGGATATTATTTTGATGTTATGTTAATACGATAGACGATACGGCAGACCGTCACTATCTAAAGAACGACTAATAGATTGACAAAACGATTCAATAAGAACAAAGTCAAATTTTGTTTATAATAAATGTATAGGTTTTATGAAGACACCTTCAGTGTCGGTTTGTTAGATTGAGACTGTTTTTTTATTTTTTAATATTCAACATCTTAGAAATTAAGCGTTTATTATAACATGGTTCTTCATCTAATATCTAGATGTTATTAAAAACATATAATAATATTTCTAAATTCCATTATGTATTTACCTCTTATTAATAATATTTAAAGGTTCACATTTTTTAAAAATCGACTCTTATTTGCCCGTTACATTGTTATTTTTTTAAATAGCTGTGCCAAAGAATTCTATTTTGATAGTTATATGTAGTAGTAGAAAAACTCTCACACATTTTCCATTAGCAAATTAATTAAATTGCACATATGAAACGTGCACGTGCTAGTAATTGAATCGCGTGCTGATAAAAAGAAATGGTCGAATATAACTGGTTATCCAAATTTATTTAAATGAATATTAAGATGATTGAATTTTAAATTGTATATTTTTTTAATATTATGTATTTTGCTCAATACATATTCATTAATAATTTCGAATGGAAATTGAATTAACAAAATATAGTGCATTATCATATATCATAGTTTGATCATTTAACTTTGACATTTGTTTAACCAATAACGAAAGACCACTGAGTTGCTCGCACTCGTTTTTTCAAAGCCTACGATTAGATACACGAATGAAATACACCGGAAGACGCTTAGTTTTACCACGAAATTGAGACAGCTGGGTCCCATCGACCTGCTTTTTCTCAGATCCCTAAATTCAAGTTTTTCGAGTAATCTATACTTTGCATCCCCTAATTTCTGTTTGTTACCACTAGGCTACAACTCGATCACCCTAGCAGGATCACCACTATGATATATAGATAACTCATAATTACAAGCCATTCGCGTGCCGACAAATTTTTATTGGCTTGCCATGGCGCCGTTAGATCATTCGCTAGACGAATCCTTCGTACATAAAAACGACGCGCATTCTCGTGACGAGGTGCCATACATTTCACGATGCCGTATTCTCGGATATCGCAGGTACGATATTTTACCCCTGTTCTATTTGATTTCTTCCGCGATTAATCTCCTTGTTCGACGAAACCACCTCATTGCCGGGTGAGATACTTTCCGTTATGTCGGGCGTTTAACCCGAATTGGATTTTAATCGTTTCTCCAAACGCAAGTTTGTCCGGTGGCGAAATACGGCCGAATTCGTTCAATTGCTCATTTTCGTGCTTCACGTATTTCCGCGGGAGGAGAAAAATCATGTTATATCGTATTATGGAACGTTTCGTCGCGTGTCGTTTCGATCGATCGCTTAAACATTGTAATACACAAAGGGGAAAGTCAGGTATGAGATCGACAATTGCATAATGAGGCGCAAGCAAGAAATATTAGCGTGACGTGTACTTATATCATTAGCGTAATGTATCGTATCTCGCGAATTGCCTCGACCTGGCACGAAAACACGTTGTTACGCATACCTACGCATGTATTGGAAATGGTTACACTACTGTTACAATGTGGAAAGCAGTTCATTTTCACGGTATTAATGCGATTTTCACGCGATCATGATCCATGCGACAACACGAATTGATACGGATGATTAAATACCGGGTGTGTGACCGTTGAAGTCAGGTAATTTTTGTTGGCCCGAGGATCCCGGAAGAGAAATTAGCGTAATTGTTCAGTGAGGACCCCGTCAACTGGTGCCATATATTGGCTCAGCGGGGAAGAAAGCTCTCCCGAAAATGTATGCAAATGGGGGGGTCGCCTTTTTGGGGTCGGCAATTTTAGTTTTTGGCGTCGCCGAGCAGATCGGACGCTTTGCCTCCCACCGACCATGATTGACAGTACTGTATGGAACACGCGTGTCGTCCAACCCTACTGTCAAAGGAAGAAGCGAGGGGAAGCGAGTTGCCGAGGAGACATGGAGACATGGAGAGCAAGAGAGGGAGAGAAAGAGAAGAGAAGAAGGATAGAGAGAGGGAGGCAGTGCCGGCAATGGCGGATTGTCGAGGGTCCTTCAACATTGCCACCCCAGTCATTACTTTGGCATTAACGGGGGATGATTCTCTTGCCCTCTTTCGCGGATTCACCGGTTCATCGAGTGCTCGAGAGGGCCCACGAGAGGCGGACACGCAGCAGGGGAAGGTGATTCCTCTCTCCGAGGCACGAATGTCGTGCAAAGTTAAATCGGCGGATTTACGAGCGTCGCTCTCTTCTACCTATCGCTGCTGATATTTCGTTATTTTGCGTTTCTCTGCCTGCGGGCTTGTTTTTTCGCAGTGACTTTAATAACGCAACGGAATTTAATAATGACAGAAAGTTTTGCGAAAAACGCTCGGGGACAAATGTATGATTGAAGGAACATATAAAGGAACGTTTCTCAAAAATTCTAAATTTATTATCGCTACAGGTTTACGTTCAGAGGGTATATTTTATTTGTATCGAAAGCAATTCAGTAGATCTCTTCTAAACACATAGTTATAAAACGTATAATTAAAGTTATTTGTTAAATTTAACCTTGCTTGATAAGCGCTTTTCAGTTTCTATCATGTAATGTTTCAGAGAACTGTGAGACTATCGACTTTGACTTTGGGAAGATTTGGCTGTGCATATTGCGCACCGGATTGCCGCAGCTGCTGCGGTTTCCGGGCCTGATGGCCAGTTGGCCGAATTATTGCTAAATTGCGTTCTTCCTTCCATCAAAAATGCACGTGGTAACGCTTATGAGATTTGCATGTAAAATATATTTTCATTCTCCAAATATTAACCCGTTCTCAATGCATTATTAATTGTTAATTTTCATCGATGATACTTTTCCGATAATGTCTATTTAGAATTAATAAAGCATTTTATTTTTTAAATTTTAGTTTGATATTAGCATATATTTTATTTTTATACTAATATTTTATATACATGTTATATTTTTATTATAATATTTTTTTTTAATATTTCGAAGTCATTAATACGAAGCTATTATGAAGTGATGAATATTTATTTTTAAAGTTTTATATTTTATATTTAAATATTATTTTATATTCTATACAACAAAAATATCTTTTAATGAAATGAGGAAAAAGTATATATAAAAGTATGTACAAAAAGTATATATAAAAAATTAATTAACTCTTGCATTTTATTGGAAAATATCGCTTTGAAATTAATAAAAATGCTGGAATTCTATGAAATACTTTTATTTTAAAATTTATCTTTTTAATTTAAATTTTAATTATTTTTAATAGTGAGAGAGCAAAAAGTATTTGTACAAGGAAATTTGTTATAAAAAAAGTCTTATTTGTAGAAAATAAACATTAATTAGCAATTTTATACAATTGAATACATTTTGTTCTAACAAACGAGCTTCCTGATTTTGACGCATGATTCCTGATTTTAGAAGCTAAATTTCTCATCTGTACGAATACTTTTTGAGCATTCAAACAATACAATTTTTAATTTTCATTTATTTTTCAGATGATATATTTTGTATAATTAATACACATCTTTTTGGTATATATAATTTTAAGAAACATACAATCTATTGAATGAATTTCTTTATGAATAAATTGTTAATTATTCAACAAGAAATGATCATCAATTAAACGTCGAATCAACGTCAAATTGAGTTGAACTCATCGTATTTATATCGATTCGACATCAATTCGATAACTCATTTCTCGCTGGATAATATTTATTTTTTAAAAATAAAGTTTTTTTTTAAAAACATTTTCTCTGAATGAATACTTTTTGCACTCACTGTATCTTTTTAACCTTTAGAGAATGGATGTCTTTTTAAATTTTACAGCTCTTCCTTGAGTAAGATTTATAATTCATTGTTTTAGTGTCTTCCTTGTTTCAAAACATGACACTGTTTCAGCGCGACTAATAGTGGCTTTCCCGTCCCCTCAATAAAAGATAATTATTTAATAAAATTAATTATTTAAATTTTAACTATTAAAATTAATTTTTCCATTCTCATTATATCAATTTAAAAAACATTCTCGTTTGGTAAGTGACGTTAAAGACAAAATTATAAAATCCTTCATCAGTTTTTTTGCAGTCTATTCGCATCGTTCATCAATCTACGCAGTTACAAGAGCGCTGTTACTCGCGTAATTTTAAACGTCGACGATTTCGATACGTTTGGTTCGTTCTCCTTTCACAGAGTCTTCTCATTCTCTCCTGACATGTATGTAACGAAAGGGGCACGATTAGTAACGCCACTGCGAAGACGATGGATTATTGACTGGTGCAGTAAAACGACGCCAGATACGCGAATATTTCGCAAGTAGACGTCAGGCAAGATCCTTGGACTCCATTCTGGATATGCGTTTCTGTTCCTTCGGTGGTAGCTGTACGCGGGCTTATAATGTTCACAGGTGAAAGGCTGCGAAAATGTCAAATTGCAAACACGATCTGCAATAACTTCCTTGTTTAGCGCTAAATCGATCGCGGGCGATCAAGCGTGCATAAATAAAATATTTTGCGATAACCATGGCGATTGCATCTCATATTGCGAAACTAATCAGTGATTGATCGTCAGTCGAACCGATCGTGCAATATAAATATTTTAAATTGAAACGTCAGTTTCTGATATTTACTAGTATAATTTATAATTTACAATTTTATAAATAGATACTTGTTTATTTATTTTTTACGAACTCCGTAAAATTAGGTAATACATTTTTTAATATAATTATCTCTATATATTTTAAAGAATAAAAAAGTACATGTAGAGAATTCACCGAGGAATTCTCTTAGTTTATAAATTGAATTTATATTAAAAAAGTTTATCTATAATTAAGTATAGATATGTATATCTTCTAAGTATGTTTCAGTTTAAAACGAACAATTCTATAATGTGGAAAATAGAAGATATGACACTGTATGTGTACATAACAATATACATATATTTAGATAACATTTAAAGATAACAAGAGTGTTTTTAAATTGAAGGAGAAATAGAGTTAACAAATGATGCTATAAATAAGCATTTCCGTAAATTACGATTGCGTAATTATTATTGCGTGAAAAATGAAGTGAATTGCGTAGAAAAATTCTCAGAAGTGACCATATAAATATTACTATTGGCCTTCATCGCAACTTCGTTAACCCACGTTATCCTGCATGTGATAGTATCCATTTGATTACACAACCATATACCCAAGCGATTTCGTTGATAGTATCGCCTACGCATCGGTCGATAAGAACTACATTATATAAACTCATACGAGTAGCTAACAATTTGGTTTCTCCATGCTTGATGAAATACCAATCACGCGAAGATCAAAGGTATACGAAGAGATTTCCAGAATTTTTTTTAAATATATCATACGTAATATTAATAAAATTCCAGTACACTGGACATTTTCAAAGAACAAATACCTGAGATTAACATTATGGAAAAGAAAAACTTTATCGTGATTAGACTCCCGTTATGAATCTGTTTCGAGTCTGAATGAATCGATTTCGATATTTAATACTGTGTCGAAAATTTGCAAGAAACGTTGAGCACGTGCGAGGCATAGAATAACATTTACCTGCGTTATATCGCTGATGGCGTTTAATACCGCCGGATCGGTGCAACGTCCGCAGGCGGCCACCAACTAGTTCAAGGAGAAAGAACATTGGCTTCGGAGCCAAGAGTTTTCACGCTCCGTAGCCGTTTATAGCCATCCTGCATACGCTACTGCCACGATAAACTTCTCGTTTTTTTTTTCTTCAACGGGTATTACCGTTCTGTAATAACACCTTGCTAAAATCAGGCGTTCATTTCGCTGTTTTACGAGATCGTAACGTGTGCGACTTTGCGTTTTTGTTCGGCAAAATCCAAATATATTTTAGTAGTTCTGTACCCTCCAAAAAATGGACTTTGGCTCGGGATAAGAGACTTGTAGTATCTTTATGTCTTTTACTTTTTTTTTTTTAACATGGCCGGAGACACTGTCGCGTCTCCTGATTGAGATCAGACTCGAAACATTTGCAGAACCAGGAAGACTAAAATATAGGAGCCTAAAAGATTTTACGTTGTCAGGCGTTATTATTTTTCCGACAAAAGGTAGAGACTCGATAGACGGAAGACGTTAATTAAGGAACTAATTTACAGGGCTGCTGTATGCATCGCGCTGATTAACTGTCAATTATTCACCGGCGTAGTCCTGGCAGCCGGAGACGCCGTCGAACATGTACACGAATATGTACCGGTTAGACTGCCAACCAACAACCACCCCTCGGCATGTATCGCCGCAGGTGGAACCGCGGAGGAGCGGTCGTGTTTCCCTGGCAACTAGAGAGCCGCATGCTTGGACACTCCGATCCGCTCAATGCAAAATCGAGCTCGTAAACCGCGTATGATCGGCTTTAATGGAACGTCAATGTGTAATCGAACACCGTTGGATTCGAAAAAACTGGCTAATCCTCGCTTCTCGATCATTCGATCCCTCTCGAGGCGACGACCAACGATCGTCACGCCGACTGAAAACTTCGTCGTACATTCTAATCTGTCATTTTATAACGTGTATGAAAAAAAAACATTCGATACCTTACTGTGTTAATTTAAATAGTCGTATTTAAATAGTCGTTCGTTTTCTCTTCAATTCGATGTTCGTCGTATTCGATCGCGAAGGGACGAGGCAAGATTCACCGTCGTGAACGATACACGATGATGTGCACGTAGCGCCGTGGGAGGAATCCTTCGTGCTCGCGTGTTTCCGTGGCAACCATAAACAGGGGCCTCGAAATTTTATTGGCGACCACTGTTGTGTCATAGGCAGGTGGATTACCCCTTTTACGATCCGCATGTGGATATACATTCTCGCTACAGTCCTCGCAGCCCTACCCTTTATCCGACTCTCTCATCTCTTCAGCTTCAGGTTTCGTCACGGACGTGCTCACATTTAGCTATTGGCCTCGATTAATTTCCAATGGACGCTCGTAAAGCGTTTTACTGGCTATCGTACGTGCCGATACGTTCTGCGAAAAGATACATTCGTAGGACGCACTTCCGCCGTGATACGGTCGCAGATCTCGGAGAGAACTTCCTCGTTTTCTCCGATAGAAATGACCGCAATCTCCGTAATGGAGAGGAATTCGTCGGCATCCGAGGCGTCCTACGCTAGTAAATTGTCTCGTAAGACCGTTTGTTGTGTTCGTTTTTTTTTCGAGACTAGAACGAAGAGATAAACTTTTCATCTCTTTTGAGTACGCTTTGTTTATATCTCTGTGTTATGATTGTAACTTTTGTCTGATTCATTTATCACAATTTTTTTTATTTCATCTTCTTATATTTGAGATACTATGAATGGCTTTATTTATACGGAAATGAGATTGTACGAAAGGATAAAAAACATCAATCATAAAATTAATTTCAGATTTGTATTATAAAAATTTTTGATTGATTTATCAGTTGATTGATTTTTCTTTTATTTTTCTTCCTCTTTCAATTACTCATACTGTTTAAATTTTTCATCGGACATTCTTTGGAAAAGAATCTATCTTATAGTTCCTGTATTGGTTTTGGCGGAGTAGAAAGAATGCATTTATCGTCGGATGTATTTACAGCTTTGAAATTCTTGCATGGAATAAATAATTAGGGTTTCTCACAATAAAGAGACAATCCGATGTATGACGCATCGATATTCATAGAACGTTATATAATATTGGCGTTTTCGCGATAAAGATAATGCACACAGGGCGATAAACTATCATAGGGATAAAACTGATGAATTTGAAAATCGCCGACAATTCAGGAATAATAGAATGAAATAGTAGA